GAAAACATTATTTTTGCATTAAAAAAATAAAAATACTTTAGTGTGATGGAAATTATTTTTTAAAGTTTTTATTTTAAAATAATATTTTTTTATTTTTTAAAATTTATTTTTAATATTAACACAACAAAATAAATTAATAAAAAATAAAAAGGTCGTTAGACTGCAGTAATAAATACTACAAAAAAAACAGTAAAGAAAATACAAGATAAGAGAGGAAAAATTATACTTAATATGTATAAGATAAAATAATAATTTTTGTATCTTATATCAATAAATCATTAAAAAATATATAAAAAATATGTTTTATACTTTATCTATATTACCATTAAATTATATTTAATCTCTAAATACATAGAATTTTGTGAGTAAAGAGAGCATTTTAAGAAATTGATTGAAAAAAAAAAAACAAGAATAAGAGAGATGTACCTAGATAAAAGGAGTACTTTTGATTGAGAGGAAAGGAATGACCATCGTTGTTTTCCAATTTAAAGAAGGTAGGGTTCTTTGCTTGGAAAAAAATAACGAACAAATCTGGAATGAAGTGTTTTTTGCAGGTATATTTTCAAGAAAAAAAATAATATTTGTACCTTAGATGATATATCCCCCATATCTTTTATATTTTAAAATAATATAAATTTATTTTTATATCTTTGATTTCTATTACTAAAAATTTACTGATGATATGGAAAAAAAATCTAAAGTTAATTATATTGGTTATTTGTTTAAAGAATTATTCCAGAAACACAAGATGTAATTAAAGCCCTACAACACAATAAAAACATGATTAAAAAAAATAGCATAAACAATAATTTAATAGATTGTTTAGTAACACTTATCTATTAAAATAAATTTTTATTGTTTTTAATGATTAATTTTATACATTTTTTTTTTATAAATCATCTTACGAAGCAAATGGAATGGCTATAAACAACCTCTAAAGGTAAAATTAATATCACTTTATTTAATTGCATTTCTAAATAATATTTATAAAATTTAAGTAAAATGAGACTCAAAATCTTTCTAAAAAAATATAAAAAAAACCAAAAAAACAGCAAAAACTAAAGGGAAAATAAATTTAAAACAATATAGAAGAAGGTAAATAAGTTGTTGTTCAGTATGAAAAACATCTCTTGTTTAACTGATTTTATTTTAATTTTTAAAATTTAAATTTAAATTTACTTAGTATTAATTATGATAATTATCAAAATTAATTATTATCATTCTAACTTAATTACATATTATAAAACAAATAGTAAATTACACTACCTTAATTAAAATTGACTCTAGCATCCTATAATTTTTATCATTCTCTCACTTTGCAACCAAATTTTTAAATATCACAGCTTATAATAATTTAGGTCAAAACAAATTTAAAAAACCAATAAAAAATAATAATATCCCCACATATATTACTGTCATTCTCACAGTCAAGCAGCCTCATTTTCTCGAAATCCACAACCCATAACAACAATCATGCTCTCATAACAGCAGACCCGGAAACCATCTCTCAAGATATTCGACCTTCATAGCAGTTAGACAAAAATTAAAAATCTCGACTTTTCTTTTCATCAAAATCGCCATCAAAAGACCAGACCCTGCTCGAACCATTCCAGAACATGAACCAGAGAAGAATAGAAAAGCAAAGTCATCATTTCATTTCTTGGTCTCAGCGAGAGAGAGAGAGAGATTATTGGTGGGGGTGTATGTGTATATATGTAAGATCTCCCTCTCTCGATCCATGCAGAACATGTAACGAACCCTTTTCTCTTCTATCCATCGTTTTTGTCTCTCCATACTTTTAACTCTTTTTTTTTAGATTAATGTGGATGGCCGGGTCAGTTTGCGCGCACCACGACTAATCCCACGAGCCCTAAAGTTAACGACCATGTAACCGCTAGTGGCCATCATATGAACAACCAAGGACTCGAACCTGAGACCATAAAGGAAGCAAACTTCTTAATCCCAAGTCCTTACCATTTGACCACCACCTTTAATCTCAAGTACTTATCACTTTACCACCACCTAAATAATTACTTTTAACTCTTTTTGTTTCCTTGGGTATGGGTTCGTAGCTTATAATTTGAGAGCTTTTAACTCTTTCTTGCTTACTTAGGTATGGGTTCGTAGCTTATAATTTGAGAGCTTGTAATATTTTCCTAATAAAAAACAAATCTTTAAGTACCAAGGCCAGTTGATACACTTGGAGCTTACACTTAATAAACCAACAAAATAAAAAAAAATCCCTTCACTTGAGAGAATCTTTTTTCCTGTTAGCTTTTCTGCTAAAGCGTTTTCAGAGCTAATTGTGTCCATTACCGAAGATAGTGTTCCAACTTTCAATTGTTCTATGACCAAAATCTCTTTCCATTAATGTTAGACAAAAACTCACAATCTTCGAGGAAGAACACCACGCCGAAGCAGTAACTACATCAATTCTAGGTACACCACCATGCCAAAATTCAAAAATAGTTATTCTTTTTTTTTTTCAAGAATATTTTTAAATTTTTTTGAATTTTTTTTTTAATTTTAAATTAATATGTTTTTAGTGTTTTTAAATTATTTTAATGTGTTAATATTAAAAATAATTTTTAAAAAATAAAAAAATTATTAATATGTATAATAATATAAAAAATTATTTTAAAAGCTAATGAGTCGTGGCAGTCAATTCACTGTTGGTTTCTCTCTGCCATCTGATCTTAATAGAGTTATCCTTAATTCGCTTTGGGTCGCCTCATGATCTCCACCTCCTCATGAAATCAAGCCCACAATGTCACCCCCGCCACTACCTCCACCAACAGTAAAAACTAAAATCATTTGAGGGTCAACGGAAATTATACAATAATCTGGTTTTGAAAGTGCTTGCTGAGTGTTCAACTTGTCGAGTCCAAAACTGATCAAGCTGTGAAATTGTTGGTTAAGTTCAAGGACACGGTGAGTAAAAACGATGATCAAGTTGAGCAGGTTGCTTTCTACTTCGCAGAAGGATTATGCGTGAGAGTTATCGTAGTAGAGCTTGATGTCTAGAAAATTTTAGATCAGACAACAAGTGAAATTTTGATTCAGGGGGCAGCTGGATGTGTAGGAGAAGGGAAGAAGATGGAAAATAACAGGGCTACGGCTTTCTAATTTTTTTTATTTTTTATTTTTCGCTTTTTGTGTATACTGTACTGTGTCTTTTCCGTCATTATTTTAAATATAATATAATAACAATTTTGGAAATAAATATATTCAGATTTGAAATTGAAAAGTGTAATATTTAAAAATTTTGTTAAAAAATAAAAAAATAACCAAATTATAAAATGCTTATAATAATTTATTCTAAAACATATAAAAAAGTCTAAATGTTTCTTTCTTAAAAACCTAACATACTTAGAAAATAAAATTATTTAAGAAATGAAGAGATTATTATTCACAATAGTTATTCCTGTGCTAACTAACAACTAGATTGATAAAAATTTATTTTTTTATAGGTTTAAAATATTATTTTACAACAAATACAAATTTAAAATATATTATGGGATAAAAATTTATTTTACAAAAAACTCCAAGCCTCTGACTCAAAAATATAACTCGAGCTAAGTAAGCACTTACATGTAACTTAAACACAAAGCCCACTTCCTGCATCCCCTCCATTGAAAACTTTGATGTCTTACAACCCTATTTTGAACTTAATTTTCCATCATGAAACTTATAAAAAAATCTTATATTTTTTTTAATACAGAGGGTTTAAGTTTTACCGAACATGTCAATTAAATATTTTTTTAAATTAATTTTTATCCACCCATAATTTATTTTAATTATCCTTATATTAAAGAATTTTGATAAAGGAATAGTTAATCTCTAACAAAATTTTAATTTTAAAAATAAATAGATTTTATTTTTATTTTTATTTTGTTATCAAATACTATAATTAATCATGTTTTAAAATAAATTTCTAAAAATTCAATCATTTTAGTTAAACATACTTTTGTTCAACTCCTACACTAACAAAACACGGCCTTGATCTTGTAACGAAGACAGATCGTGTGTACACAAGGGCATGGTTTGGGTTTATTGCTGGTTGTTATCCGAGTCAAGATAACCCGTTTTCTCCTGCTGAAAGCCTGAAACCCGTTAGAGGTTGAAGATAAAGACATCACAATTCGTTTTAGTCACTATTGTTTGTTTCTTATACAATTTAACTCCTAGCTATCAAGTCTTGATTTTTAACTTGATCCTGAGTTTGAGATATCTTCAAAGTGTCAGTTGGCCCCAAATTTTATTCCCACGGTTAGATCTTTTCTTTTTATTCCAAAACGGTATTAATTTCATAAAATTTCATGGAAAATTGGCCATCGCATCTTCACCCACAGTAGGTGTCATGAGTAATCGAGCCAATGTCAATGAAGTACAAAAATAAAAACGTAATTCCTGAAATGTAAAACCTGTTTCAATCAAAGTTTATGTTTAGAATTTCAATATTTGATCTTGTTCTCATTTTGGTCCAAGCATCATCTTTGTTGTTCGCAAAAGGATCCTAAACTAGTGGAGGAATTTTTAAGAGACGTGGTGGCTCCACCAGCGGTCCCGTTTTCCGGTGACAGTAGGTGCAACAACTTCGACAGCTCTTGAACAGACAAGATTTTTATCTGAAAGGTAGGGCGGCAATATGAATAGTTCCAAGAATATGGTGCACATATATCTACTCTTTTTTGCCAGTTTCGTAAGTTCAGGAACAAATCATTGCAAAGCCGGCAAAATGCCTCCAAACACAAATCTGAAAAGAGGTTCAAAAAATAACATTTCAATGCACATCAGGACATTATTAAAGATATGAGACCAAACGTGAGCAAGTGGACTTGGCTTTCATGACGACAAGTCCCCAGCTGTGATAAGCACTGTCACTTATTATATGAACTCTAAATTTCGATACCCCGCTCAATACATTGACTTTAAAGCTAACTGCAGAGAGCATAGATTCAACTACGTACTGGAATTGGAATCTTTATCCGTCTTTCAAAATGCAGAGAATTGGACTGGTTGGCGATGAACGTTTTGATCAGTCTTTTATGCAACCATCATTAGAGAAATTCCCACAAGAGGAGCTCCATCAAACAGTTATGGTAATTATGGTTGAAATTTCAGTTGTTTTTTGGTACACGCCTGCTTAGTTCTCTTTACTAACATGAAATCTGGGAGATGATTTTTCAGGAAGAAAGCATGGCAACGACTTTGGTAAGCAATGGTTGTGTTGATATTCGAGGAAGAATTGCAGACAAGAGAACTACTGGAGGATGGAAAGCTGCTCCTTTTATTATAGGTTCTTAATTAAACCAGCACTTGCAAATTTGTCAATGGCTTCAGGAATAACAGAGGCTAATGTCTTTTCAAGTTTATGGTTTTTGTTTTGCCTGCCGTTTGGTGCAGCTTATGCATGTTCCCTCTTCTTCAATTTGGCTTCTTGGCCAATAGAGGCTGATATTTTTTCCTTTCGGTGCTTCCAGTGAATGAAGTTGCTGAGAGGTTAGCATTTTATGCTATAGCTGTGAACATGGTAGCTTACTTGGTTTTTCAAATGCATCAGTCACTTCCAGATGCTGCAACTCATGTGACTGACTGGATAGGAGCTGCTTTTGTCCTTACACTTTTCGGAGCGTTTTGTGCCGATGCTTACCTGGGCCGATTCAAGACCATCATTATTTTCTCTTGCATCTATGCAGTGGTAAGAAATCAGGATCCCCCCCCTTTCATTTCCTTTCTACATGGCCTATGATCAAGCTAGAACAAGCGTCTCTGGTCTCCATAATGTTCAATAGGGATTCTTATAGCCAAAATTTGTTGAGAAATAAGATTGGCCTAAATTTTTTGTTCGACCAAATTGTGTTTTGGTCTTGATTGCAGGGAATGGTATTATTGACGCTCTCAGCTTCTATAGACAGCTTACGTCCACCACAATGCAAGGTAAGGCCATGTCCAAAAGCAACCGGTGGCCAGACATGGTTCTTGTATGGTGCACTGGCCCTTATAGCCCTTGGTACCGGCGGTATCAAACCATGCGTCTCAACTTTTGGTGCTGACCAATTCGATGAGGCAGATATTAAAGAAGTGCCAAAGAAATATGCATTCTTCAATTGGTTCTTCCTGGCTATAAATATGGGGGCGATGTTTGGTATAACCGTATTTGTATATATACAAGATAATAAGGGATGGGCTTGGGGTTTTGGGCTACCTACAGGGGCCATGGTTATTTCCATCGTCATTTTAGTAGCTGGCATTCCTTTTTATCGTTTCCAAGAACCCATGGGGAGCCCTTTCACCAGGTTTGTTCAGGTCATGTGGACTTCTGTAAGGAATCATTTGCATGGAGTTCAGGTGGGACATCAAACGGAGCTTTACGAGGTTAATACCAATGAATCTGATATTAAGGGCGCCCAAAAGCTGTCTCACACCATACAATACAGGTAAGTCTATTTACCCAACGTAGTATTTCCCCTCCCTGAAATGCAGTTGGTATTTTATATATATATATATATATATATAAAAGTCTGCCTTGTTTGTATGTTTTAAAAATATTTTTAAAAAAAATTGATTTTTTAATTTTTTATTTACTTCAAATTGATTTATTTTTTTATGTTTTTAGATTATTTTAATATATTGATGTAAAAATTAATTTTTTTAAAATAAAAAAAAGTATTATTTACATACATTTTCAAATAAAAAACACTTTAAAAACAATTATTATCCTATTACCAAACACCTCCTTAGTCTACAGTCTACCAAGGCTAGCTAGTCCTTACCACGATATTCTTGCTTTATTTTTTTATTTAAAAAAAAAACATTTGACATTAATGAAATTTAATTCAATCCTTTAAGAACGTCTTAACTATTAATGTTCTTGATTTCCAAATAAAAGGTCTCAGGTTTAATTATCTTTCATGAGCCTATTGCTTGATCACGATTTCATTCATTCTACAATATATATGTATATATCGAGTGACTTGTGTGTGCCTCTGTGTGTGTGTGTGTGTTAATCGAGTGACTTGTAAATCTTGGCGCAGTTTCTTGGACAAGGCAGCAGTTGTGACAGATCCTGAGGCCGACACAAGGAACCGTTGGAGACTTTGCACAGTAACACAAGTAGAGGAATTCAAGTCCTTTATAAGAATCCTCCCAGTATGGGCATCCACAATTGCACTCTCCATATCCTTTGCTCAGCTCTCAACCTTCTTCATCAGCCAAGCAAGCATCATGGACCGAAAACTCGGCTCCAACTTCATAATTCCAGCAGGTTCTGTCCCCATCTTCAGCGTCATCAATGCCCTCATTCTTGTCCCCATCTACGAAAAAGTGATAGTCCCTATCCTCCGTAAACGCACAGGCCACTCCCGCGGCATCACATCTTTGCAACGTATTGGAGTTGGTTTGTTCATTTCAATATTTGCTGTAGCTTCTGCTGCATTGGTAGAAAAAAAGAGACGCCACAGCCCTAACCCTTCAGACATGAGTGTGTTTTGGTTGTTTCCACAGTTCTTTCTAATAGGCAGTGCAGAAGTTTTCTCCTACGTAGGACAGCTAGAGTTTTTCTACGATGAAGCAACCGGTGGGACAAGAAGTATTAGTAGTGCAATGTTTCTTAGTGAAATTGGGATTGGAAGTTGGTTAAGTACTGCAATAGTTAAGATCACTGAAAGAGCAACTGGCGGAGAAGAAAAAGGGTGGTTAAGGAATAATCTTAATTTAAGCAAGCTTGATTATTTCTACTGGGTGTTAACCTCGATTAATGCAGTTAATTTGGCAGTTTATGTGTGGATTGCTGTTCTTTATAAGGGTAGGGGTGGTGCAGCTAGGAGTGTGAGAAGTGAAAGTGTGTTTGAAATGGGTGACGGTGCTTTGCTGGAGAAAGAGGATGATTAAGGTGAAAAATTCTGAAGTGTGGCCTTTTAGAACAATTGCATTTGCTTGATTTGATTCCTAATTTCGATGTCTGCTGTTTGATTTAATCGTGTATGTTTGAAGACATTACTTTTTTTCACTTTAATGTAATATTTTATTTATAGTCTATTTTCGAACTGAAATTTTAGTGTTTGTTTATTAACGCAGTGAACTTTGTGACTGCGATAGCGTTGATAGTTAAAATATAAAAAATAATATTTTTATTACATTGTAACTTGTAGAAAACCAAGTTGCTAGTATGATGTTGAGTGAAACTCGAGCAACTCATGATAATGCTATTTGCTGCGATTTAACTTTTGGGATCGAGATTTTCTTTTCTGATCTCAAACAGGGAGACTGATTAGACACGAATTTTATTTAAAGAAGGGAAAAGTTGTCGAGATAATATGGATGCCATTCACATCATGATTAAAAGGGCAATAGAGAATTCTGTTCTGAAAATTAAAAAGAATTGCTTTTGGAAAAGTAATAGGATAACTATGGATACTAATGATTGATTAACCTCTTTAATGATGTGATCTTGGGATCCGTTAATCCTCCCTTAATCTTACCTAGAATTTTGTCAGTTTGCTTGTTTTTAGCCTCGGGTTATAGGAAAGGTCATGTTGTAAAAATGGAGACGGACAGGCACTTCCAGCTGGAGATTGACTAGAAATAGTCTCCGAACACAGGAGTTTCTACTTGACTGGAGCTTCAGAAGAAGGGGTGATCAGGAGCTTATATCAAATTCTATGCTTCGTGGGGAAAAAAATCGAAAATATGTTGATGCCTAACATTATTATATATAGAATCAAGGAAAATTATTTCATGCCTTTCAAAAATCCGAAGGCATGGATCTGGCTTTGAACCGGATGTTTTTCATATTTATTCAAATGTGTAATTCATGGTATGTAATATACTTATAACATCTAGCTCAAAATCAAACATGTTTCAAGTATTACATATGTTGTGAGTAGTTTGATTTAATTTTTAATTTTTTAAAATAAAATAACATTATTCTAAAAAAAAAAAACTTTGAATGAGACAAAACCCAAGTCCATATCATGTTTCGAATGGTCAGGCCACTGAGTTAGCCGGACATGCAGCTTTTATAAATATACATGATATACATGTAATGACCATTTCAATCGGACTAGAGTTGTGGGGGACCGAGGCAGGATGGCTACATGGATCTTCCCGAATCATGGCCGAGTCTCGGGGTCAACTGGAAGTGCCAAACCGCCTGCATACTGGAAAGCTAGAATTTAACTAGGCAAAAAGCAAAGTCAAATTCGACATGGTTGCGAGTCTGAATTGGCTTAAATAATGCTTCTAGCACTTTGGATGTCCTTTCTTTCTTTCTTTTTCCATATTTTCATGTGCTAATGCTGGGGATCTTTACATAGCCAAAAGCTTGAGAGTTATTTTAGAGTCAGCGTGCCTAATGGATTGTGCTGGTAGCCATCAAGGTTGGCTCGAATCAGTGGCATGCATGATATTTATTAAATTGCATCAAATGCTAGGGTTTTTTTTCAATGACACAAAATAAAAAAGGCTACTTCTTTTCGTGCAACTAGATGTTTTTCTAATCTAGTTGTCCCAAAATGCATGTTTATTATAAAAAATAAAAATTGATATACCAATTATCCTAATTTCCTCCTTCAGTTCCTGATTCCTTTCAAAGCTCTTAATTAGCCATGGACGTCTTGCAACCATCATGAATGCATCAGCTTGCCTAGACAAGACTTAAAATATAATTCTAATTGAGGATAAGTTGCGTTTTCAAAGAAGACTGTTATTGGATTGGTTTCAGGTTTGGCGATTATCACAATGATCGTTAATTTTATCTCTATCGATCATTAGACTGCCGATTTTATTTTTTAGTAATTCTCTTATGTCCTATCCTATCTTAAAAAATCATAAAAACTTTGATGAAGGGAAAAGGTATAACAACAATAATAATACATGAAACACAAAAGATTTGATGAGTAAAAAATATTGTAGATATAAATTTTAAATTCACTGTTTTATTCTTTAAAAAATAAGTGTAATGATGATTGTCAAGAGTTATAATGCTTTTAAATAGGTAAGAAAACTATAAATCTATTATAAAACAACTAAAATTCTGCAATTATAAAGAAAATAAAATAAAATTAGAATTAAAGCAATAAATACAAAAAACACTTAGAAAATAATAAAATTGATCCAAACAACAACTTGTGTGTCTAATTCAAGAGGACCCAACTATCCAAATAGTGAAGGAGGGGCTTCTCATAAGAAAATTGCTCATAAAATCATGTGAAAAAAACTAAATCTGATCTAATAGTTCATTACAATTAGATCTATTCTTGAGTTTATTAGACTTGTTCCATTGATAATCATAAATATTTATTAAGTAATTCATATAATCTATCAAAATCAAATATATATATATATATATATAATTATGTTAGATACTTGAATACTCATACCGTCAATTTTCATAAACATGGCTGCATCAATCTTGCTTGAGCGATTTTAGTTCTTTCAGACCATAGAACAATTTGCAGCATCAGGCTTCCTGCCAAAAAAGCAAAAGCGTAAACGGTGGTCATGAATACTGAGTTTTTCCTCAACTTTTTTTACGTCAAAGCAGGTGGTCATGATTTATGTGTAGGCTTACGCTAGACAAATTTCCTGATTTATTCGGCATAAATACTTATCCAGCAAACTTCTACCTATTCTCATTGCTTGTCACTCCTTCTGTTGAAGATATCCGTATATAGAATGTCATGAGCCAGAATAGCTAGAGAAACTGTACTTTGCACTCTTAGTCAAGGAGAAGTTAAATAGTTCATCTGATTTTAAGGGAGCCAGAGCTGATTCAACTCATGCAAGCTTCTAGGTTTTTGGAGTCTTGTGTTTGTGCTTAATTGCTTGAATCCAAGTGTAAATTACTGAAATTCGGTTTCCATATGGCCGAGAAACGTCCATATTCCAAATAAAGCCCTTTACCATGTCTCAACTCAAAAAAGATTGATTAAAATCACCACTGATCAAAAGTGGAAAAGTAGTGAAGACTCGGCATGCAAATTCCGCACTCAGTTCTCTCACGTCAATTCTCGTACCCCCTTGTGGAACATGCTGAATTATATTCTTCATTGTCCTGTATGGAGACTAGAGGTTAAAGGGCCTCATCCCTAAATAATGTTCTTGATATTTTACATGTATATCTTTCTCTATATACACACCATCATGATCAAATAAAATGATCAGTACTTGCGACCAATGTTATTGTTGATATGGGCAACGTTATGATGGCAATATGAATATCAGCGTGCTTGTAAACTGAAAATGGCAATCAAAATTAGTAGAGCGGTGTCAAGTCCATGATGTCCTTGGAGCATTAGCCTTTCATAATCTTCATATCTTCTTAATTTCGTAAAGCAAACCATGATTTTAACTTACAAAGAAAGCATAGGGGATTTCAGGTCTCGAGGGCCGCATTAGTGATGACAACCATCCAATTTATCCCCTCAAAATCTTACCTATCTCGACCTCCTACTAACATGAAAGGACAGGACATGACAAAAATTTTAAAAGAACGCCTCCATACACACACAAGCCATCTTAATTAATAGAGTGGTGCCATTTTTTTTTTATGGGATCTTGGCTCTCCAGCCAACTGTGTAGTCAAGAGTCAGGGGGTCTTGCCAGTCAAACATTTTCTGTTGACGAAGGGAGCAGTGGCTGAGTGAGGGAAGTCTTGATGTGGGTTTGAGCCCTGCTGATTCCATGCTCAGGAGTGGCCTGAATTGCAGCCTTTTCCAGAGCCAAGAACTTCTTTTCTTCGCTTTTGCCCCATAGGACCAGGTACAATCCTACAATGATCAACACTGCCCCGATGATCCTGTACACACACAATCATTGACTAGTATAAATACACACTCAATGTAATCAAATACTATTCTCTTGTACCCTTAGCACTTGTCTCACCTAACTTTACCCTACTACCCTCGTGACCTTGTCCTTTGAGGTCCGATAAAGTGATAAACAAACAAGAACCCCTTTAAATGGCAAGGATGTTTTGGTCATTAAGGCTAGTCAAAGGTTAGTCAAGATCCCAAATAATATTGTTAATCCTATGGCTGGGGATCGACGTGGAGCCAATAGAATGCATGACTATTGCAGATAAATAGAAGATTTCAAAGATGATAATTAAGTAAAAAAGAAACCCACCCTCCTAAATAGAACTCTTCTCCTAAAGCGATGGAGGCCATGATAGCGACAACAAGGGTCTGTACAGGTTGATAAACAGCCACGAAGACAGGGCCACCTCTGTCAATGCACCATATCTGTACAGCGAAGGCAATCCCTGATGCGACCACTCCCTGCAATTTTCCACCAAAAAAAAAGCTTTTTGCTCATTTCGTTTTCATAACACCCCACCACTCTACATTTTTTTTTCAGTAACTGTGTTCGACAATTTTTTTATTATTAAAAAGTATATTTTCAGAATAATATCTTTTTGCTCATTTCAATAATTACAAATAAAATTATTAATGAATAACGGAGCCAATATTACAAAGCAGGGAAATAAATGGCGTATCAAATAAGATAAAGATGCATGACTGGTTACCAATATGTCCAAAGGCTACAACAAAGTTACCCTTTTATTTCTGATCGAAGATTTGACATGCTTTTAACAGTCTAAAGTACACACTGGACTACTCTTTCAGTTCAATTTGATAAGCCATCTTTTCATCATTTTTTTAAGCAAAAAACAAATTCATTATACCCAAAAGTAAATTAATATTTACGCAGGACAGGATTTCGTATTTAAAAAAAAAGAAATTTTTTTTTATCTAATTATCAAGTGTGACCAGTAATTAAATTCAACCATGACCCTTTCTTTCGGTTGTCATGATTAATGTTCCCTAAAACGAAAACCCAGGAATGCTTAGGTCCAAATTAATTAAATTTGACTAATTTCATGCTGTCTGAATGTATAGGAGACTGAATCTCAAAGAGGAAAAAGGGGTGAGATACTAACTGCGTAGAAAATAGTGAAGAGTTCTCCACCAGAGTGGAAAATCCAAGCCTGTGGATCTCTCTCCATAAAGGCAGCAATAATAATGAACTGAATAAGC